CTACTACTACTACTACTACTACTACTACTACTATGATTACTATTATTATCATGATTATTATCAAAATATATTTCATTGTAACGAAAAAGGTTGAAGACACAATATTACATACGTGACACATTTTCAAAAGTTGTATAGAAAGAATACATGTAGCCCACAAGAACATAATGAAAGAAAGACAGTAACCCTGTCTCTCAAGCACATGTCGTGTCGTAGCGCGATGAAAGCAGTGAAAGCAAGCGTGTGACAATTTTTGGACAGATGGAGTTGTTATTATCACATTAAAGCTTAGATTTACCTATTTTTCTTGAGCTCGGTGAAAAACTGTTCATCCATTTTGAATAGAAGTGGAGATATTTTGAATTGAAGAAGGTGGGGGTAACCTGATTTAAGAGGTAAAAATAGCCCGAGAAAATGGCCTCCAAAGCTTGGTAATTTTAAAGTTGTATACTCGTAATTTTTCAACAAAATAACTTGTTGGTTTGGTATTTTTATTTAAGCATTTGGTAGTAAAATGTACCCATAAATATGTTTTCGTAGAGATTGAGAAAGTGTCTGTGAAAAAAAACTCACCAATATTCGTCCAACGGTCCAAAAATATAATAGTAATAATAAAAAGATACGTCTGTGTTTTTTAATTTCCTATCTAACAGACACCATTGCTGCAACGCAAGACAGAGTGAAGTGGAGGTCCATGATCGCCCACGCCAGTCGGCAAGGCACCGGATGATGATGATGATGATGATGATGATGATGATGATGATGATGATGATGATTTTAGTAAAAAATCTAACAATCATAATACAGCCCATTTCATCTTTTGCAACCATAACCAACTGGGAAAGTGCGAACATTTCCATTTAAAAAAATACAATTCAAACCTGTGATATCTACAGGCTCGGCGGCGATTGGAAGCCATGAGGCGAGACCTGGACGACAAGCGGAAGGAACACGACAGACAAAGACTGTATGCAGAGAAGGCGAAGTCCGTGGCCATAGAGGCGGTAAGCAGATTACTGTGTTCTAGCCCCGCCCTAGTTCCCCCCCCCCCCTTTCTCTCTCGTGCTTATGCGTGGCACCGGAGATTTAAATTAAAAAAGAAGATAAAGTACAACTCAGACTAGATCTAGGGATCTTAAGAGTAAGAACCAGGTCTTGTTCGAGCAATGTTCTCGATCAGGTGCGGCCGTAATCTCTCTCCCTATACCTGTACAGTGTATTTTTGTTGCCCTTTTCATTGTACGACTGGATGATTAATAGATTGATTGCATTATGTATCTAGACGAGCTTAAGCTTGAACATTAAAAAATAACAAACAACTTTTTAGGCTATACACTAATCATCTTTGAAATAAAACGGCTTTTTGGGGAATAGCAGTAGATCAAATTCACAAATTTATTCCAAATTTTGACGATGAACATGTATTAATTTGTCTTAAAAGGTAAGAAGGGGGGTATTAGA